CGATGGAGGCTCGCTCCGCATGAATAATGCGCTCCACGACGTGATCCGAGCTTCCCAGAAGACCGTCGCTGGACTGGGATGTACCTCGAGCACCGATCCAAAGTATTGGACGACACAATAAAGCTGTTACGTATCTCGCTCTCGCGAAAGATTGCGAATCAGAGGCTCTCAATGTTCCGACATGTTTGAAAGCATATAAATCAGAGGGCTCTGAAATAATAGGGATCTCTCCCAGGCTAAACTGTAGAATATTGGAGCTCTGATGTTGCAAATTTTAGCACAAATTGAAAAAAGCAGAATTTGAGAAAAGATTTAAACTCTGATTAAATGCTGAAATTGAATGCTGTAACTTTTGAGATATTGAGTCATCAGAGTTTTAAAATATTAGAATTCTCAGCAATATTAATAAAATAGAGTAATATTAAAATATTTATAAAATAAATATAAAATAAAATAAATATTTATAAAATAAAATACTATACTTCTGAATAAAATTAACGCATATTTTTTTCATTTTTTTTTAAAGCTGATATTTAAATTTTAACGAAAAATTTTAAAGAAAAAATTATCCATTAATTTTGTCCAGGAGTATAAATATTTTTTCTAAATTATTGAGTTTGATGATTTTTTTAGTAATCTTAAAATAGTTTGAAGATATTAAAATTCGAAGCGTGCTAGAAATAGAATTATTAAATTACGATGTTAATATTCTCGAAATATCGATCGATATTTGATTTGTCGAATGAATATTCGTTGCAGAAAAATAATAATTATGAAACAATAAAACTCTCCTCCGAGATTTCTTCTGTTTGGCATTTAATTTGATGACGATCGATTGTCACTCGCGTAATTAAAGTGCTGGAAATCGAACGCGATTCTTGCGCGTTCGATCCGATGTTTCAAGGTCGACACGTCGATCTTCCCCTCGCAAGTCTGCCCAAGGAAGAAGCTTCGCGAGTTGAGCTCTCACTTAACGGCCGCGTTGTCACGATCGGGACCTCAGCGACATTAGCATATCTCCACGATGCAGCGTGTAAGGGGTGCGAACGGGGGGTGCGAGCGAAGAAGAGAGGAAGGAAGACAAAGCAAATGGACACGGAACCGTATATGCGCGATCTCATGGGTCGTGAAAAGGCGCGCACGATCCGTAACGCGAATCGGTAGGGACGGGGGCGGGGGGAGAAGAGCTCGGAAACGGGGAAAGGAGGGGCAGAAGACTCACTCTTGCTGCCTGTTACCTGTACGTCCTGTGTTTGCCTACCAGCGTCACGATCAGGACTCTATTTGCATAGCGCTGATGAAGCTGCTACCGTCTTGTCGCCCATAGTCTTTACTTTCTCGTTTCCTCTTTCCCGAGGAATTTGCGTGCGTTTTGGTCCAGTTTGAAGGATGTTGAGCACGTCGTGTCCTATCCTCGATCGGGTGTATCTGAAATTATAAATTATATATTAAATATTAATATATTTTTATAATTTTTAATTATAAATATTTTAATTTTAATTTTTAATATTTTAATATTTTAATTTTTCATTATAAATATTTGTTTAATTATAATTATATATTAAAAAAGGAAGATATATATCCTTTTAGGATGAAATTTTATCTTTGTATATTCAGTGATTTAAAAGGAAATTTTTTACGAGTAATGAAGTGTCTTTTTTGTTACATGATTGATGATTAGTCGGAAGACAGTGACGTTTTTAAAAGTTTCGGAAGTCTGGAAATTTATAAGACTTAAGGGAAAGAGAGAGCGAGAGAGAGAGAGAGAGAGAGAGAGAGAGACGTGTCAATGTCGACCGAAGGGATGAGAAAGAAAGGTATAAACGGTATAATAAATGCCCCGCATACCTACTTATTACTTTAACGAGCGGACGTTTTTTGCATCACGCGTACTCTCGGTCACGGAACGCGCGATGATTTACCGAGACATCACGTGCGTTCGCGCGACTCGTCAACAATATGTCTCACCTACGCATTTCTGATCGTTTATCGATCCTTGTCTCATTAAATTAACAGAGTATTCACCACGCTAGTTGTGTCCTTATATATATAATTTAATTTCGCCATCTTTTTGCAGCGATCGCAAAACACATTTATCTCAATCTTCAAAAAGATGTATGTAATCGTAACACAATGTTTCTTTTATCCATTAAAAAGCTGAACAGTTTAAATTTATAATTTATGAATTTATTATTTTAGAGCGATAAATATATAATTTCTTTGCAAGTGAAACTTCTTTAATTCTTTTTCCACAACACTGTGTTTAATAAAAGATAAAAGATTTAAAAAAAAAACAAAGAAACAGCGCATACACTCTCCTCAGATTAAATATTTATTTTAAAAATGTAAAATTTTAAAAATTGAAAATTTCGAAAGATCCCAAGAGTTTCTAGTTTAAAAAAAATATGAATATGAAAAATATCACAGGGATCCAAGAAGGAAGGAACTTAATTACGAACTTATCGTCGCGTGATACATCAATTGTATCGGGACGCCGGTAAATCGAGCGGAATTTGAGGCTCATTAGCGGAATGGAGTATCGGAAGAAGGGTCGTATCGTAGGGTGAAAGGAGGAGGAAGACGGGGATCGAAAGTACGAGTTTCCGGCTCCGTTCTTCAGTGCGACGCCGAGTCGCTGCGATTGCTCGGTTCTTGCATAAAGCGGGGCCGAAGGTGTACACGGACGCGGCGGTATCGGTTCCAAGAAAGGCTTATCAGGCCGCGGATATGTTAATGGAGGCCGTGTTGTGCCTCCCCCGCTCTCTCCTCCACCGTCGCCTTTTCGAGATATATTGCACCCCAACCGTCGCGCGATGGAGGAGGTGGTTGGTCGGCCGCCGTAAGCTGGTGGTTGCTGTAGATGCAGCCCTCCCGCGATCGGCAACGTGTATATTTTGTATGCGCGTTTAAAAACGCTCCCAGTTTACGAGGGAAAAATCTGAAGAGCGAAAATTAATTGAAGAAGAATTGTAACGATATGGTTCCTAATTGAAAAATCGTTAAAATATATTTTCGTCATTGATTTCTGAGATTTTCTCTCTGAAATTCTGAAAATTTTATTTTTAAATTGTAGGTATATACGTAATAATTCGTCTCTAATTTTGAAATTAAAGATTTTTCTTCCAAATACTCTCTGTAAAATTTTTGGTTTTTCGAAATTGAACATACTTGAAACTGTGAGCATTTAAATCTCTTAGCACTTGCTTGTATCTTTCAATACGAAACAAATTCTTTAGACCTTGAAATATTCTGGCTACTTTGAGCCTCGAATCCTCGGGCCATTGTGTTCTCGGATTATCGAGCTCACGGATCCTCAGATCTCCGGGCCGATCGCGAGCCAATCCATGCTCGGAGATCATCTCGAAAATAATCTCTCGTTCGATAATAGAACCCCGGGGAAAGAAACTAACCGTGAGATAAGGGAGGTTTATCTACAACCTTTATCATACATACACCTCCCTCTTTCTCTCTTATTCTCTCTTCGTGAGATAGAGAGATCTATCCACGGCCTCCACCTCTTCTCCAATCGTACATCTGAGATCACGAAGAAGAAGCAGACGAGGGTCGCGGATGAACTTGCAGACGTCGTCGTCGCTAGCGAACGTATGCATGGCTGCGCAATTAAGGCTCGCGATCAGTCCCGTCTTGAGAGGGAGAAAGAGAAAGAGAGAGAGAAAGAGAGACGGAAATAAACCGGAGGGAAAAAGGGAGGCTGTGTGCGCTGCCACGCCACGCCACGCCACAACCGATCCATCGATGACCGCTTATTTACAGAGAAGCCAGAGAGAGGAAGGAACACGACCTGGAGTGTAGATGCGAGCGTTGGATAGCCCAGCGAGCTCGTTGCAACCCTTTGCCCAATCTACCCAGGCAGATCTTCCTTCGAGTCCTCCCTCGCGCCTCCCTTCCTCCCTCCTCCTCTCCTCTGTCGCTCTTCCTCGCCCGAGGAGGCAATTAAAGCATCCGGGTAATTCTCAATCTCTCGCGTCGACGAGGCAAATGGATCGTCAGATCTCTCCTAGAGGTCCTTGATGATCTATCGAGAAAAAGATGTCTTAAGAATTGCACAGAAAATTCTATTGACAATCGATCCTTTTCAAGAACTGCAGTCGCGATTTACAAGATATCTCTAAAATGCTTGATTAAAATTTTACTTACGCGTTTTCTACTAATCGTATGAAAAAATATGCATGAACGATAAACGATTGCATTTTTATAGTTTACTATTTTTTAAAACATTTTATTATTTAATAATTAAAATGTACAACACATTTTTGTCCCTATTTTATTTATTTGAGGATATAATCTTTTTCTAATTAATGTTTCTATTTAATTTCTTTCCATAGATATTTTTTCTTTTATAAACTTTTTTTCAATTGATTAAATATTAATTTTCTCAAACATCTTCCTTAATTTTTTGTTAATTTTTTGCAACTCTTGTTACCCTTTCACAATTCTTTTGTAAACTATTTCTTCATCAATGTAACCCCCTGATTTCCTCAACAACGGCAGAACCCTCAGTATTGAAAGATTAAACCTCGTATCGATGCATCATTCTAATGTATTCGCTGCGAGCAGCCCTTAGACACCAAACTACTCAGAGAGAGCTTACGCGTAAGCAAGTTGAGCGCAACCCCGAAGTAGGGGATGAAAGCATGCGAAGGGTGCAATTGATGGTTGTGCCGAATGGAAGAATAGAGAGATGAAGGGAAGAGAACGTAGAATACTCAAAGGACTGTTGAAGCAAGAATCCATTAGGGATAGTCCAAGATTTAACCATTTTAATTTTTTATTTATTTTATAATAATTTTATATTATAATTTATTATATTATTAGCTTCTGTTTATTATTTTCTCTCTCCCCCTCTCTTTCTCAAAATTAATATCGAAACAGTCTTACTTAAAGGAATGAAAAGCCTCTAAAGAATACCTTGCCATATCTTTGTTATTTTATTTTATAGAAGATTTCCGTTGATAAATACCTCTTATGTTTAATTTCAGGGGAGGATGAGGAATGGAGTGACTCGGAGAAGACCCCGTCGGTGAGCAGTGGTGTGGACGGTGGCGGATCCGCGGTGTCGAGTCCGATTGCACCGCCGGTGGTTGAGGAGGACTCGAGTTTACCACCTCCTCCGAGACTCAACCCCGCGTCGTCCTCAACCAGTTCCTCCACTAGCGAGGACATCAGACTGCGCTTGAGCGTCCTTTCGGAGGATACTAGAAAGCATCTGGTCAGTCTTACTGAAGACATCGAGGTGATCAATTTTATTATGTTTATCTTGATTTAATAAGAAAATTAAATATCTTATATTAAAATCATTATCTAATTAAATATCTATAATATTTTACGAAACAATCATGTGGTCTAAAAATTTGAAGAAAAAACATATACATTTATATATAATTATTAAAAATCTAGGAATTATTTTTGCAAATAAATTCCAATAATTTTGATAAGATCCCGAAATTTAAAAAACAGTCTCAATTTAACAAATATTTCATTAAAATTAACACATATACATAAATGGTCCAAATGATAAATCAATAATAATAATAAGGTAGGCTTATATAAAACCAAGAAAAGCGCAGGTGGCATGACAAATAATTCTATAATTTTTTAAACAATTCTAAAAATACACTTTTTTCGGATGGATTTCGGTGAGGTGTTTGAGCGTGAGTTTGGTGGCCAACGATTTTGTGAGCAATCACTAACAGTATTGTTTTTTTAAAAAACTGAGTATCATATATTGCGAAGGATAGGGCGGTGATAGATATCGTGCGATTTTTAGAAGCAATAGGCAACGCATTGTGCCAGGTAATTTTGCGGATTATTCTGTTTTATTTTAAATCTTAATGATATCTTCCCTGACTCGATATAGTTGTTTACTTTTACAATTTTATCTTTCAACTGTACAGTATTTCATATTTTTCATCTATTTATTTTTGTATTTCTTTTATATGTTTTATTAAATTATTATGTCACACTGAGGAAGGTCCGAATGGGATCGAAGCGTTTGTATTTTTAGAATTTTTTTTTAAATTATAGAATTATTTGTCACGCAATACCACCTGCGCTTTTCTTGGCCTTAAATAAGCCTACCTTATTATTATTGAGTCTCAATTTAATTTTTAAACTTAATTTTTAATTATTAAAAAAAATAAATATCTTATGCACAGGTTCCCAGGGGTATACGAGACCGCCATGCGCCGTCCAGAAGCGTGCGGACACGAGAATCGAGTCCCAAGGACGTCGATGAGGATCAACAGGCTGTTAAGGAGGACGAATGCCAGCCGAGATCGTCGTCCTCATCGTCATCGTCCACTGCCATCAGAAGACGAGATTCTGTCTGTCGCAGGGACTCGGAAGACTCCGTCACCGCGGTGGTCACTGAGGCCAAGAGGATGAGACTCGAGGACGAAGCACCAAGACTGAGACTCAATGCTAGTCTGGCGACGGATCCCGCATTGCGACCCGCCGCTGTCGCCGCGCTTACTGTGAAACCGGAGAACACGTCGCCACCGAACCAGACACCGCCACTTCCAGCAGGGCTTCAAAACGGTAATTATAGTTCACATCTAGATTTCGGATCGATGATCATTTTCTACGGCATTTTAATTCAGGGATAAAACAGGAAAATTTTCGAAACTTGAAGCTTTAAATGTTGAATATTTGAAATTTTCAATTTTTCAACAATTAAAAAATACATATATTTGAGAAACATAAACCTGCCTTTTAGAATCTGAGACGATGAGGATAAAAAATAAAATCTTGTGATGAAATTAATTTCAGCAATCGCATCGGGTCGGCTGTTCGTCCTGCCAACCGATGGCAAGGAGACGATTACGGTGGAGCCGGCGAGGCCGCCGCCAACCGCTCTGGTCTGTCCGCCGTGCGGTATCCGATTCAGCTCGGCGAGCACCCTAGAGGCCCACCGCACCTATTACTGCGCCCATCGACCGCGTGCAGAGGAAGATGTGACGAATGACGAGGATGACGACGGCAAATCCGGCGGCAAGTTCGAGGTGCGAAAGGCGTACGCTTGTCCGCACTGCTCGTATAGCGCCGACAAAAAAGTGTCCCTGAATCGCCATATGCGGATGCACGCAGCTTCGCCGGCGCCCCCGACGATATCACCGGCAGCGACGACGGTGTCGACGAATCCGAACTCCTCGGCGAACAGCCCCGCTGCTCAAACCACCGCATCTAACGGTTCTTTGAACGAGGAAGCTGAAAGATACTGCAGGAATTGTGACATTAGGTTCAGTTCCTTAAAGACATACAGGTAAATAAAATAAAAGTAATTTAAAAAAAGTAATTTAAAAAGTTCTAATTAAGAAAACTCATAGAAGTCTATTAAAGAAAATAATCTGTAATAATATTAAAAATATAATAATAAAAAAATTAAATAATATTAAAAAATATTAAAAATATAATATTAGAAAATTAAATAATTTTAAAAAATATTAAAAATATAATATTAAAATAATATATTATATATACTATATATGTAAAATTCGATACACAGAAATATAGGTTTTTAAAAAAATTATAATTCAATTTATTACAGGGCGCATAAGACACATTATTGCAGTACCAGGCACGTGGTGAAGGACACATTACCGTCGTCGACAGCAACGCAAGCATCTACAGTGAAAGCATCGCCGCCGACTAGTTCAAGTCCTGGTGACTCGCCGCCTCCACAGCCATGTCTGGCGTTACCCACTAATCCCATCCTTATCGTACCATATTCGTTGTTTCGCGGCGCGAGCGTCCTTGCCGCGCCGGCACTTCCAGCCCCTGACACTGCGTGCTTCCTTCTGCCAAACGGTTTGTATACGTTTTAAATAATTATAAAGAATAATTTAAAAAATGTAACGTCGATTTAACATTGTTTCATTTTTAGGTTCTCTTCAACCAATGACGAGAGGTCTCGCTTCCACGACCCAAAACGTGGAGCCGCCTGTTCTAAGAGCGGCGAACAAACCCTCGACGCCAGCATCAGTGGTCGTGGCAACATCCACGTCTCCATCTGCTTCAGCGCCTCTCGATTTAAGCGTACGCAGATCGCCAGTGCATCAGGACGAGAAGGAGAACAGAATATCGCCAACGCCATCATCTCTGCCACCACCTCCGAGTAGCCCCAGATCCAGGGGCAGCGGTAGTCCTAGAACGAGATCCATCGGTCCGGCACAGACGGTCACCGTCGCGCCACCCCCGCCCACGGAACTCGCGCTGAGACTCGCCGAGCTGCCACCACCCCCCGTTCCCGGGGTGCTTGTCAAACAGGGTGTCTCCAGGTGAGTTTGGGTCTCTCAAGAAATTTAATTAGACTTTTGGAATTCTAAATGTTTGAATTTTTAATTTTCAAATTATATATAGAAAGAGATCATAAGCTTAGAAAATTTTCAATTTTTGAAAACTTTGAGATTATTTCCTTCAAGTTTTGATCTTTATAGGTGCAAGGAATGCAATATCGTGTTCTGTAGACACGAAAACTTTGTCGCTCATAAGAAGCATTATTGCCAGGCAAGGGAAACGACGGTGAGCAACAGTCCGCCACCCCCTGGCACGCCCCCGCCACCCATCTGCGTCCAGCTCATCTGCGCCGCGTGTGGCATCAAATTCGCTTCCATGGATAATCTGGTTGCTCACCAGGCGTATTATTGTCCTAAGAGACCCGAACCACAAGAGCAGCATACACGGTGTTCTAAATGCAAGGTAAAATCCAAATAGTACAAAAGAATTCCAGAAATATTTAGGAGGCATAAAGAATATCTAAAAAATTTGTTAAATGTCTAAAAGTATAAAGAAAATCTAAAATTAAAATTTAGAGTGTTTTTAGATATATTTAATATTCCAGAAATTTAGGATTCCTTTTAAATACTTCGACTTTTTAACGCATTTGAAATTCCTACTTTATCTTTATTGAGGTGATTCTCTTTCTTTTATCGATTTTTCGAGATATTAGACGAAATGCATACTTGTTGCAGGCGATAATAGAACCCGGTAGCAATCATACCTGCGCCAGTGGAACGACTGGTGGTTGGCGATGTCCGGTTTGCGGTGCCGTCAGCCCAACAGCCGGTGCTGCCCAGCGTCACATGGATGCCCACCAAGGTGTCAAGGCCTTTCGGTGCACGATCTGCCGTTATAAAGGCAACACTCTACGTGGTATGAGGACCCATATCAGGATGCACTTTGAAAAACGCGGCACCGATCTACAGGTAGGTCTGTTCTTTCTCTTTGTTCTTCTTTTTGAATTCTATTAAATTAAAACACATATTTGTATTTTTATATTAATAATATAATAAATAATTTTTATATTAATAATATAATAAATCTTTGGATAAATATCTTAAAATATTTGACGAACTAAACCTGACATCAAATATATTGTTTATTTTTATATAAAATAACTTTGTTTTTAAATAAATGTATATTTGATAGAATTTTAATAAAATATGAACTATATTTATTACTTTAGGAGGAAAATTATATAACGTGCGTACTGGATGATGAGGCGACGCTTTCGACACCGGAACCTGCGCCTGCTACGACACCGGAGGAGATTCCCGCAGAGATTCAGGTGAATGGCAAGACGGAGATACAGAAGAGCCCGCAACCACCGGCGCCACCGCCGCCTCAACCTCCACTGGTACCGGCAATCACTAATAAGGTGAAGCAGGAACGCGAGGACACGCCACCGCCGGAAGAGAGTTTGAATTCCAGCAAAAGCGGTCCTCGCTACTGTGACTCCTGCGACATCAGCTTCAACTTTTATCACACCTTTCTCGCTCATAAGAGATTTTACTGCTCGAGTCATGCCGGAGAGGCGAGTAACAATAATAATAACAACAATAACAATAATGCCAGCGGTCATCCGACACCCCCGCCAACTGGCAGGACCGAGGCATCGGTGCTGTAAAATTCCGTGAAGTTTCATAATCAAGTGCGACGAGATTACTTCTCTGCCGTTCGTTTTTATTTCATGGAAAAAAAAGATAATATGTACTTTAAAATATTTGCCATGAAACATTGATTCTCTCGAGAAATACGAATAAATTTTTCTCGAAGGAATCAATTTTGTTAGGTAAATAATAAAGTATGTTATATCCTAAAAACTAATGGTCACATTAATCGTAAGAGAGTTTACATCAGTGAACGTCGCATTTTCAGGAAATAAAATATGAGAGTTGCGATATCTGATTAAACAGGGACTGTTAATTGTTGCCAGTTTATACATAATATAATGAAAGACTTCTTAATTGACTGCTATGTTGTGTGATTTTTGTTGATCCAGGGAATTGTTCGTACTTATTATAAGTCGAAGGTATCTATATGTACATATATATGCGTATGCGCGATGTGGATAGTGAACTCGCAAGAATAGGTGTGCAACCAGAGCCGTACTTAGATAATTATATATAAATTAATATATAATCTACATATGTATACGCGGTAATGAAATAAACTTTAACGATGCAATTGTATAAAAAAAGCTTTAATTCTCGTATAAGTAACTAATATTTAATATTACTTTCTAATCGCTCCAAAATATACAGGGTGTCCGATTTTAAAGGATCCACTCAAATATCTCAGAAACATTGCTTAATGAAAAAATACTTCATTATAGTGTTTTGAAAAGCTACGAGAATATGTAATAAAAAATAGGGGATTCTATTTAAAAAATTCAAAGACCTTCCCCTGATCTTGAGAACACCACCCAGAGTTGTCAAATCAATGGTACCATCTTATGTCCCTCTTCAAGCCACACAACTTATGTGTGAAATATTTTTCGATTTAAACGGTGTTTCTGAGATATTTGAGTGGATCCTTTAAAATGGGACACCTTGTATAAAATAATATATATACAATAACATATATATTTTATTATTCATTTTTTTTTTATTCATTCTTTTTTCTTATTCGCGTTCTTTTTCCATTTATTGCTCGTTCGAGAATTTATTTAAGAGGTTTATGAATTATTGTACAAATAAATAGATAAAGAAAGAGAAATCCATATAAATACAAATTAAATGATATTTAAAAATGAAAAATATATCATGTTAATGACATGTATACGGCTCTGCTTGCAAGTGATCATTTCAATGCTCGTCACATTGATTCAGTGAAAAAATTTTAAAGATATCGAAAAGAATCGACGAGACGAATTTGTGTCTTGTATGTACATATATACATATATATGTAAAAAGAAATTGAAGGAAATTGGCGAATAGAAAGAAATGAGCGAGAAAACGCGACCGGGCTCGACGCCAACAATAATTGATCGGTCCGGGCGAAGGTGTGCAATCTCATGACTCTCCAATAATCTCGTAGAATTAATAATCGACATTATATATCTTAAGAACGAATACGATGAGTGTAAAATGTTGTACAGTAGGCAAGTAGAATATTATGGAGCTGTAGTAAGCGATTCTGATACGAATGATACCATTCTCAGCTTGTGAATCTGCTAAGTTACATTGCGCAATTATGACGCACAACATATTTTATATATATTTCAAAATATATTTTATATATATATAAAATAGTTGTTACGTCTACGTTTACGAATAACAATAATGCGAATGCGTCGGTAAATATCCATGGGAAGACATTTAAAATGCATCATGAATCCATAGTAAAAATTTATTCTTGATGACTTTAAAGTTTCTTCGATAAAAATTTGTTTGACTATTATTTGTTCATCACGATTTTTGATATTTTAATGTCAAAAATTTTTAATACTTCGATTACAAGAAAAAATCTAACAAAATTACAAGTATAAGATTCAGTTAGTTGTAAACTGTTCATTTTTAAAACATGATTTTAAAAATATTGTAAAATATTGTTTTTAATAAATAACATCGTCAAGACAAGATTGACGAAAAAAAATATTTAGAGAAATCTTATCAATAGACCTTGTATATATATTGCAGTGAATGCAGACAGAAAAGAGAGATGACGATCTCAAAATAACATTTCCTCTGTTATTTGAATTTCTATCGACGCACTCGATGGACTCGATCAAAAGCATCGTACATACGTGTTCGCAAAATATCCCTCGTTGTAGGGCGCGTGAATGTAAAATAAATTAGAATTAAGGCCAGTGTTACATGTATACGCAATGTACTACTCATATCATATGACGAACTCGTTAATAATTCAAAAGATGTCGACCTATCTTTTAGCAGCGATTGCCTGCGCAGCGAATTTCATGGCGAGAGATTTAAATATCGCGACGAATGTTTTGCAAAGATAAGTAATCTCATCACATCGTCCGGAAATTTACCTTTTCTTCCATATTGCAGAATCATTAGTCGATACACCGAAATAACTTTTCTCTTCGAGCCATGAAATGTCTTGTCGAATGTTATGTTGTTAATTGCCCGGATCTTTATACTGCCCGAATTGATTTCGCGGATGACGAAATCGCGGATGTGTATGGAAAAATTTGTAAATCCCCATCTGGTACTTCCAATAACTTGTTATAATATGCTATAAATCTGGTGTATATCACATTACATGCCATATCCACGATGACAAAACAGCTCTTTCTTCAATAATACATGTATATCCTGTAACATCCCTTTGGGACTGATCACCATTTTCCCTCTCTTGAACAAATGCAAATATTTTCGCATCAGTTTTCTTTTTTTTAAAACTTTAATAATTATCTCTAATAATCTAAACATTTTTTTTAGAATCGCAAAATATTGAGATTTAATAGAATTAAGTTCAATTACGTATATATTAATATACATGCTGTTATAAGCTTGTGTGATCATTTCTTTATTTTTAAGCTTAATTCTTTTTTGTGATTTTTATTTTAATAAACGAACTTTATATGAAATATAAATCTATATCGCGATAAAAGAAAATCTATAGTAAATATATAACAAAATATATAACATATAAATAAAACTTACATTATTTAAACTTATTTTTTGTTAGGAAAAAAGTTGAGACCAAAGAATTATGCTGAAGAAATACTTATTGTACTTAAAATTTAACAAGATTCGTAGAACTTATAAAGTTATACAAAAATTAAATTTTAATCTATTTCTTAATCATACATAGTATACATAGGATTTCTAACTGACAACTGCTTTAAATCTTTCAGCAAATTTACAAAGCTTCATATTTTTATAATTAACTTATTGAGGATATTAAGTTTAATTGTGATGCATATTAGCTGAAAACAATTTCTTGCAGGATGATAGTTGCATATATAATTTCTATAACTGCCAATCGAATAAGAGATTATTTTAATATGTATGTGTGTGTGTGTGTGTGTGTGTACTTTGTAACTAACATTTTAGGATTTTTATACTATATCCATCGATTCGTTTTCTTCACTTGAATAATTTGATGACCTTCCTTCGTCATCTGATGAATTGCTACTAGAGCTATTATTCAAATTAGCAGCCTGTATCATTCTTCTATAGTTAGCATAACTGCATCCGTATATTTTTATATCTTCTTCTTCATTCGGATCAACATGTAAATAGTCATCATTATTGGAATAATCAGAATCATAATCTTCATCTCCGGAACGATCATAATCAGTATCAGGATAATCATTTAACCAATGGGATTCTGCATTTGAATCATCCGTAGATTCAGCACTTTCATCATCGTAATCGAAATCTGGATATTCTGGCTCTTGAACCAATATTTCATTATTTTCAAGCCACACATCATCATTAGTTGTTGGCCCACAATATAAATCAAATACAAACTCTTCAATATCCTAAAAGTGTTATATATATTTTATTTTGTTGTATCTTATATAGATAAAGCTTATTTTACTCAAACATTTGTTATATTTCTAGAAATTATTATATATATATATATATATACACATGTTTTTTTTTATTCTTACATCTAAAGAATTATATTCCTTCTTGTTTAGTTTCTTATTTATTTCTTATTATGTTAAGCTTTATTTCGTTGCAATATAAAGTTAATATTTTAATCTTTATTGAAAAATATACAGATTGCATAAATATCAATATATTTTTGCAAAAATTTTTGACTTACCTCTGTTTCTTTTGCATTCTGTGTTGCTGTTATAGTGGAAACACTCCAGGAATCCTCCACATCTATAAGCGTCAGCCATTTCTCTTCTAACTTTTCCTCAGTTTTTAATGTATCTTGAGAACGCTGGCAATTAACAACTTTATATCTTTCTCCCAAGGGCTCCATTCCTATCCATTTCTTGTTTGATATATTTGCATGATGATTGCCGTCTGTTTGCCCGCATGTTCGCTTGGTGCCAACTTTGGCTATTTCTGTGTTTATCTTGGGCATAACTTTGGCGACATGCTGCGCGACATCCTCTGTCTATCATTAGACATTTTGCAAAATCTTGTTTTATTTTTTTATGAATCAATAACAATAGTTATCAAGTTTTTAATAACATATTTTGAATATTAATAGCATTAGTAAAAATTAGCGATCCATAAGCAATCTATTTCATCAATTTTTTTTATTACACTATTTGAAATAATAATAGCTACTTTAAAAACATATTTCTAAGAAGACATCTCAGTTTTAAGAATTCAAGAATTGCAAAATACAAAGAGATCTCAACTTCTGTATTCTTTATAAAACCTTTTTATATGTTAGTATAGTTTTTCACTTTTTATTCTAAATATGAAATTAAAATTCTGAAATGTTTTTACACTTGCAATTGATTATAAATAAACTGAAAATGAGTTTCACCATGACTTATACAGCACGTGATCGGATAATCTTTGTGCAGAATAACAAATTGCACATACATTAAATTTTTAAAACTAGATAATTAAACTAAATACATTAAATTTATTAAAACTAGATAATTAAAAAAAAATAGATTACCGGATCTGTGAGAGTCGTGGCGAACTGGACGACCGTTTGGATGGCGGGCTCGTTTTCGTCCAGAAGAGGCGACCCGGTTCTCGCACGTTTGCATGCTATCACCAGTTTATCAAGGGGGGTGTCGGTGTTCTTGCGTTTCACGCGCAAAACTGCAGTCATTTTTTTCTTTCCTTGACCTTTTATTACACTATTCGCCAATCGCGAATTACTCTAACAACGTTGTAATAAAGCAGCAGGATATATAAACTTAGTCCTTCTCGTCTTCCTTCGATGTATCTGAAACCAGAAGTGCTTGAATCACCTAAATGTAAAGTCACTAGTTAGGTTAGGTTAGGTTAGATCGAAAAAATTTATCGTTTAACAATTGGCAGCCCTACGAGAGCAGCCCTAGGCTGTGCAGCACTGCGCGTATATAAAATAAATTTGAAATCGCTTCTAGCCTAACCATCTTCACGCGATCGACTTTATTTGAATTGCACGGCGTTGCATCGAATTATGATGCGGCGCCGATTTGTTCGAACGTAATTCGGGACATCGCGATGCTGTATAAGCGTCGAATGAGCACGAATTGTCACGCAAATATGATAAATCACATCTACTCACCGTTCACCGACTGTTCCACAGGCCGCTCCACTCGCTCGCCTCGGGACGTCCCATTCCGATCTTGATGCACACAAACTCACACGAAATCATCAACGCGAACGCACGACACTTTATTCGGCACTCCCGATATTCGCTCGCATCCGATAATCATCATCAAGGGCGCGAATAACGCGACGCAACTTCGCTCCATCTTCGCGATGACGCCATCACTGAATATCGTCAAAAATCGCTGTCGCGCGTTTCCATCGACACACTATAAAAGTCGTGCGATTATCCTTGGACACTTTCGACGCTCGTTCACTCGCGATATTCGTTTAAAAACGGTTAAAAGACGCGAAAAATGCGGACGTACGACGATCCGTGTAACTGCGTATGACTCCGATTCACGCGCCAACATGGCGGCCGTATGACGCGTTTGACGTAGCAGTGACGTAGCAGTGACGTCGCAGTCACGCGCCAACATGGCGGCCGAACCAGTGCGCATTCGTTTCTGCGCGCAACTTTGATTTCTGAATATTGTCTACGGCTTTAATTAATAGCACATAATGATAAATATATAAAGATGGAATCAATTAATCATATTGGTCATATATGTAGACTTGCCTGAAGAAAGAGAGAAAAAATTGAGAGATATTTTTAATTTTTTTTTTTTTTAGTAAAAAATGGAAATGTTTATTCATAGGCTTGTTCTTCTTTTCCTCTTTTATGCAATTTCGATTCAATATATAACGTAGAAAATTCATAGTATATTGCATTTATTTTTATATATTCACAACTATAATATTCGCGCGATCATTTTTTGACATTTACAATACTCGTGTACCTTGTTCTCGATGTTTAAAAGAAGAAAGAGAATTATATATAAATGTAAATAAATTGTCCGAAGAGAGAAAGAATTGAGGGATATTTTTAATTTTTTTAGTAAAGGTTGGAAATGTCTATTTATGATAGAAATGCAAAGAAAGAAAATTATTATGTTTAAAATAATAATTTCATATGAAATACAAAATTAAAAGTTACATTATAGAACCTGACCTTGTAAAAGCGTAATAAAACAATCAAATAGTAGACAGAGAAAAGACTAATTGTAAAAGAAAAAAAGTTGTTAACTTAACTAAACCATTTAACTAAATTATTATCTTTTTAACTGGAATATTTAACTATTATAAATCTAACATGACATTTATTTAACTTAAATATTTCAATATTTTAATTAAAAAAATAATAATTTAATTAAACGGTTTAGTTGAGTTAATAACTTTTTTTTCTCAATGTACGTGTGTATGCGAGACTTTCAAAATATACTTGGATATAAATACACTTATATTATTAAACGATTAATACATCTCGTGAGGTTTAATAAATAATTAAACTGTGTACACTGAGAAAAAAGTTGTTAACTTAACTAAACCATTTAACTAAATTATTATCTTTTTAATTGGAATATTTAACTATTATAAATCTAACATGACATTTATTTAACTTAAATATTTCGATATTTCAATTAAAAAAAAAATAATTTAGTTAAACGGTTTAGTCGAGTTAACAACTTTTTTTCTCAGTGTACGTGAGTGTGTGTGTGTGTGTGTGTGTGTGTGTGTGTGTGTGTGTGTGTGTGTGTGTGACTTTAAAAATATACTTGTATATAAATACAATTCTCACATACGTCACAGTACGCGTTAAATATTTCGGCAGCGAGCTAATACGTCATTCGACCTTGTGACGTCATTTGGCCTTGTGACGTAGCGCGCTATTGTTTACATACGCGACGACCTCCCCTCATTCGCACGGCGACATTCCAACGGAGAAAGTAGCGATACGGACCGCTCCGTATTATCGAATTCTTTTCCTAAAGGTACGATCGCGATTAGATCGAAATATAATAATTCGACTATTACAAATGACAAATAATTAACTCTTATAATAAATGCAATTGTGGCGACGATAAATTCATCGAAACGCGATCTTTCATTATTGCAAGTAAAAATTGAAGCGAAAGGGGCAAAAATTACAAATTTTCTCGCAATATTCTCCGATTATCGAACTTTACGAATAATAATTATTTCTTTAACATTGCATAGAATGAAATTCGATTTCGCCCGATGTTTTAAACTTTCCTAAACTGCATATATATCATATTAATTAAACGATTGCTGTATCATCAATTTACATTACTTTAATATTTTAATCTTATGATTCGCGTTATTATGCATATATTATACATCAACAAATAGAAATAGTTAATTAGTATAAGAATCGAATGGTGCATGATTTTGGCTTCGTTTAAAAATCGAGCGAATTATTGTAATTTTTGTGTTCCTCTCTTGCAATAATAATAAAATAATAATAATATTATAAAAATACGTATCTCGTATGATTATTTTGCGATCGGGAGTGCCGTGCAAAGTATCTCGCGATCGTTTCTGTATATGACTGAAATATAATTAACTGAAATATAATTGTTTGTTCGCGAGTGAATACGTGACTACTACGAGAAAACAACAAAGGATGAAACAACAAAAGAGAAGGACATCTGGAAAAGTATCGGACAGTCAGAAAGCAGGGAGAGAGCCTGAAGCAGCCAGAGACATGCGGTGAGTAATTTATAAAAATTATTTATTATTTATTATTTATATACACTATTTTTAAAATAGATATATTGCTTATTATTTTATTATCGTTTTATTTTTCGATCATTTAAATATATAATTCGGATTGAAATGCAGTAAAACAATCGAATCGTAGATCTAAATAATTAACTTAACAAAAAGATCCATAAAAGATATATTAGTTCTTTTAATAAATAATATCGTATACTTAATCTATATAAAAATTAAATATTATCTATTTATTTCTAAATATTAAATACTATAAATTTAATAGTTATATATTTTGTAAAATATTTAATTAAAAGAATCTTTAAGATATTCCAAAAGAAACGAAGAACTTTTCTCAATGAAGAAAAAGTTAATTATAAACAAATTTATATTTAATTATTATAATTAATTTGTATTTAATTTTATTAGAATTTTATTATTAATTTTATTGTCAAACTCTACGCGATCTCTGTAATGATAGCTATTCACGAAATAGGTACAGTGAAATAATCAATTATTCGAAAAGAGGCAATAATATACTTTTAAATCTAATTTAAACTTTTAATAAACGATATAAAATTTTTTTATTATGATGAGAAATCTTTATTAAAGATCATAATTGCAAATAAAAATCGAAATAATTTCACGAAGTATATTAATCGTTTAATAAATAATTAATCCGTGTGTACGTGTACGTGTGTGTGTGAGTGTGTGTGTGTGACTTTAAAGATGTGTGTTTAATAAATAATTAATCAGTGTGTACGTGTACGTGTGTGTGTGTGTGTGTGTGTGTGTGTGTGTGTGTGTGTGTGTGTGTGTGTGACTTTAAAGATATACTTGTATATAAATACACTTGTATATAACTTTAAAAATATATATTTCCGTTATGTTAATTATCCGATTTTTATTCGATCGTTTTATTGCGCGTTCTGAATCAAATTATATTTAATTATATTAATTTAAATGTATTCGAGTACGCAAATCCTCCCTTGGAAAAGTGGAAACTCTAGAGTTGCAGCTCAAGTGCACGTTAAGATATATTGGAGTAATAATTTATTTCTTTTTTGATTGGTGCTGACCCGCCATATGTAATAAACCATTTGAAAATCTATTCGTCAGAATAGACTAGAAATCTTGGCTCCTTTTGTTCTGATTGGTCAATTAAATGAATGCACTAGTATTGTTTTCGGAAGCTCGCATGCGCAATGAATTAACGTGAAATATCAAATTCAAGTAGGAAAAAGAGAGCCCTTAAATTCAACATTTCTAGAAACAATTTTAAAAAACCATAAAAAATCAGTAAAATAAAATATACATCGAAATATACAGGAAATAATTGCAAATTTTTTTTTCAGATTTTATCTATATCAAATATCAAGAATGCACATCTCTGGATTTTGCTGACATTATGGTGCGCATGCGCAGAAAAGCATCCGAGACAACAGCACTGCCTTGCACGTGTGCAAGAAAACCTACGGTTGGTCTGATATCTTTTATTAGATTTTATGTTTGCACGTGTCTTCTGTACCGATACCAAATAATTTTTCGACAAATATATATGTAAGTTCTTTTTGTTTGTTGTCTTAAACGCTTAAATACTAATCTCCTCTAATGAATTAATTGGTAGGAAAAAGGATTTTGTAAGCGCTTAAATTTATGATAAACGAAATTCTTAAAGATCATTCTCTTGTGAGGTTATCCATACTTTTTATATATTTAGATTAACAATGGCTACATCATTAGCAGCGCAACTTAAAAAATTAAGGACTCCGCAGACAAATTTATTGCTGCAAGACAAGAAACGACCAAGCTTGTTGTTTGATCCAAAAGAAGCTGCAAATTTTGACAGAGACACTGTTTTAAGTATAGGTTAGTTTCTGATTGCTATATTTAATTATAAAAATAAAATTTTATCTATATTTTTATAGAGATTTTTAAGTAATAATAAACATTTCTTGCTTGTCAAATTATTTCTTTTCCAGATTTTGTTTTACACAATTTTTATTATCTTAACAAACAAGTTTGTTCAATTTTAATTTAAATGTTTGAAAGTAATATAGAAGTGAAAGATATTTAAAAAATATGTATGGAGATTTTTTTAGACCTTATCTGATTCGTATCTTATATTTGTGTATAATCCATAAAACACAAAAGCTATATACAAAAGAAGATGTTTATGCTTGTAAAATGCAAGAAAAATGTGTCTGAAATTTTTTATTATACTTAATCACATGTATTTTTATGTATTTAGGTCAGAGTGGTCTACAAGAATTAGTGAAACTCTCACTATTTTTTGAAGATTTTAAAACTACATTATTTGCACAGAGCACTGTGAACTTTGAACGTGCTGTTCAGGATGCTACAGTAAACAAAAAACTAGATGCAGAAGTTACAAAGTTTCTACTGTTTCTCTCTCCTTATTTTTTATTAAGTGCATCACACAAAGCTCTGGAATGGCTGATATACAGATACCATATTCATCAATACAGTCGAGATCAGTTTATACTTTTTATTTTACCCTATCATGAAACTCGTATGTTTGTTAGGTATGTATTATTGAAATAAGTTATCAGTATGTAAAATTTAGATTTGAAACATAATTTATCCTTTGTCTAATTTGTTTATTTCTCTTATCTTCTTTGTTTAAACTGTTAATTTCATATTTAATATTGTATGCTGCAATACATGAAAATTTTAAATCTTAATTAAATTTCTTTATCATATTATTTATAATTATATACATATATATATATTTTTTTTAATTTTTATAATTTATTTAGAATTTATATATATATATATATATATATAAATTAAATATATATATTATATATATATATATATATATATATATATATATGTTTATTTATTTAGAATTATATATATATATTTTTTTTCCATATTTTATGTATATTAGCAAAAAATATATTAAAAACTTTATTAAATATTGTATTGAAAAAATAGAATATATATATTTTTTTAATTTTAATTTTATGAAAGTGTTATTCTTTAAAATATCTACATTTTTGTCATTTTTAATTATAACACAATTAAAATTTGTTAATTTCTTTTTCAAGAGCTTTGCAGTTGCTAGATTTGTCAGATGAAAACGACAAATGGCACTGGTTGGCGGCTTTGCAGAAACGCGGTGTGCCGTTAACTTCGAGTATTCTTATTAACCGTTTGAGCACGGACAATGGATTTTTGAAAATGTTATGCAGCCATGTAATGGCCGCCACGGAAACCTATTCCGATGAGGCATTTTGTTTGACCACCTTATACGCCTTTTATACCACTGTAATATTGGGCGTGATTGAACAGGTATCTGTTACAGAAGTTCAAGTGAATCATTTATTGCCGATTCTACTCTATAGCGTAAGAAGTCCCATTCCCGACCTTGCTTCTGGCAGTTATATGATCATCGGAAAACTGATGATGAAGGTAATTTATGTATGCTAATTTTATCTTTATCTGTTTTTGTTTATATATATTTTTTATTTAAGAACTTGCTTGATTAATAACAATTTCCAGTCCTTAGTTTATAAAGACAATATCAGTGCAATATAAAAATTTCTACAAATTTAAAATTCATTATTTATAAACTATATTATAAATTGTAATAATAAATTTTTAGAAGTTTATAAAGAGAAATTTTTAAAAGATTAATATTTTTCTCTTTATAAACTTCTAAATTTTATAAACACATATATATACATTAATTACATATGTGTATATAAAATCCATAGGTGAAGTTTAACGCTGATACCACGGAAAAGTTGCTATTGAAAATTTTCATGAAAACACACTTAAAAGAGGAAGCTACAATCCTTCTGCTCCATCTCTATCAATCTCCGATTAATCGATTGACTATTGTACCACAAAGTGTAGTCCTTCAATTATCGAATTTATCTTGGTTTGTGGAAACAATCGTCAAGATTCATTCATCTGGTATCAATATATCGCAATTCATCGTATGTTTTCTTCAGGCAGCTTGCCAGATTGTCGCCGAGAATCCCGAGAATACTGTTGATGTTCAAAATATGATTAGCGATATGCTAATACGCGTCAGTTTAGACAATAATGCAGTGGATACAATTTTGCCAAGCATACATACATATGAATTTCTTAAGAATAAGGTTTCGGAAACTGCAAAGGACTTTTTAGCAAGATTCTATAAAAATCTCGAGCTTAGTTATCCAGAAAGATTTGACAAGTATCTAAAAAAATTGATGAAGCAGGACGACAAGGATTCTAAACAAACGTTGCACTTTCTAACTTCTTGGCCTTTTTGTACGAGGGAGGCACAGGATTTCGTTGAAATTCTGAACAAATTGACACACATCAGCGCCGAGCAACGAATAGTTGCTCTCGAGATTCTCGCCAAGAACAACGCGAACGTACCTGAGAACTTCCGTGAAATGATGATGAGTACGCTTCAAGCTAGATTTTATGACAGCGATGCGAATGTCGTGAAGACTTTATTGTCCTTCACCACAAAGAGATTAACCAGTTTATTACCCACGGATACTTTAGTGGATGAATTATTAATTTTGTTATTGACATGCCATACGTCATCAAGAAAAACGTTAGCTAAACCAGCACTAAAGATACTTTTGGAGCTTTGCGAAGAAAGCGATGATACCAGCATCTTTATCACAGCCTTACCCTATCTATTTCCAGCTACGGATGAAGACGTGGAGGTCGCTATGGAGGTTCTTCATTCGAACTTCGCCAAAAATAACACATATATGCAAAATATAATGGAGGATATTCGTAAATCTGAATTAGTGAATGCCGAAGCTATTTCCTCCGCTGCTTTTCACAATATTTTGAATCATAAATTATTACCACCTACAGAAAACATATTGAATTCTATGCGACAACAGATTTCGCACGGTGATGCAACATCCTTGTTTTTTAATATGATTCTATTAGGATCAGTCTGTAGAGTGCCCGTGGGTTCAATGCCGGCTAAAACCGCGCGTGATGTCATCGAGATGGCCACGAAGATGATTAAAACATACTCACGCGTCAAATTAATAGACGACTGCAACAATATTACTGGCAACAACATCCAGATGGCATTAAAACTCACATCAGAAGGTATCCTGCCATTGCAGGTAGGCACTTATGTTCTAGAAATGGTTCATAGACGACTAAATATCAAGTCTGAATCAAAACTCGACTTTGATAATAACGCAGAAAGAAGTAATCTAATTTTACGACTTTTGGAGATGTTCATCGAAGGTATGAACAATCGTCACTGGCAGAAACACTATTCCAGATGCTTGCAGATCTTCTTTCAACTTCACTTCTCCACGGTGAAGGATCTTATTTGTTTTCTTGCGCAGTTCTATGTGAAGCCCATGAAAGTGCAAACGTCCTATCATTGTCTGCAAATCTCCTCGCTATTATTGGATCAATGCAAATCTGTTCAATGGGCGTTTCAAGATCAAGACTTTATAATTAATCTGCTGCTCTCGCTGGCAAGACGCAACAATGATTGTAGAACAGTGGCGCTAGATATTTTAAAAAAATTGACGCAAACTTTTAGTTTCACTACGGAACCATTCTTCGTATTGCTTCAGGAATTGGCGGCGAGGAGTGCTGAAATTTCCCAAGATCCTGATCAGCTCTCTTTGAGCCTTTATGTTCTTTTGTCGCCTGATCCTGATGTGTTTCATCAAGTAAAACAACGTAAAAAGCTTCAGGAGGCTCAAAAACTATTATTCAATATGGTGATGCAACAGGACGAAGCATTAAAAATTCCCATGTACCGAAAATCGCAATTGCTTGACATCTTAATACACGTTAACAGTGCTGGAATTCTTCAGAAGTTAGCTCCTTTAGGCCTTCAACTTCTACAGAAATTAGCGGAGGATCCTACAAATAAATCGACTGCTAGCGCTTTGCGAAATATATTGCAACGTTTCAATGGAACTACGGTCAGCGTTTTGAACGATGAACAAGTATGGTCATTCTTCGAAGCGAGTATTCTAGCACACGAACTTCAAGTTGTCACGGAATCTGGTGAACAAAAATCACCAAGCATTGTATTGTTGAAGCAGATCGACGAAATATTCTTTGAGAACGCTGGTAAAGTATCTCGCGATCTTCAAGCAAAGATCTTGTCGAAGATGTTGGACGTAGTAACCGATTGCGAGATTAGCAATGTAATCACTGCCGTTGGTAGAGCGATCCATCGAATTCGCATCGATGCGACAATTATAACGTCAGAATTGCAAACAATGAAGCTGAGCGGTGAAGAGAAATCAACCAATCTGGAAGCGACAGCGAGCGCGAAGAAACGGAAGAAGCGGCAGAGCCAGATTCAATTGGCAAATCCGGCAATGGTGCACAGACGAGCGTGGAAGCGTGGCATTGCTTTGCTAGAATTTGCGCAGCGCGCCGATAATATTAAAAGCGAAGAATTACTCTACGGAGTGCTGTTCGATTTGCTCAACATCTGTTTGAGTTTGGAGGAGCAGAGCTCGGTCGAATACACGAGTCAACTGATTCTTTCGACAATTCATCGATTGATGCGAAAAGAACTATCAGTGCGTGATGCTGATGTACAAATCGCGCTTATTACTAAATGTATTAGGACATCACGCAATCCACAAACGCATCATCACGCATTGCTAGTATTAGTCGAATTATTGAGATACGTGGACGTGCATCGTGCTCTCCTTAATATTATGCCAATCTTCACATTCATGGGCAATACAGTGGTGCGCCAGGACGATGCCTATTCCATTCAAGTCATTTCCAAAACCCTGGAGACAGTAGTGCCGATCGTGAACGCGGCCGACAACGAGAAACATGCCTGCGAATTATTAAGAGTATTCATCGTTTCGCTGCCACATATTCCCGAACATAGACGGATGCCACTCTTCGTCAAACTGTTACAACTTCTTGAAAATCATTTACACTTATATTATTTACTCACTTTTGAAAATCATGCGATGAAGATTACGAATCAGAAAACCGAGCAGTCCGCGCAACAGTTGGATTTCGCCCTTCAGGTGTCACAAGAATTTTCACCGAAGCAGTTACTTCAGGTTAGTCATGTTTAATTAAATAATGATTAATCTTATTAAACAAAAAACTTTAATGAAATTTTAATAATAAGAATAATATCTTTTAAAAGAAACAATATCTAAAGGAACATTACTATTATGTATCTAAAATAGAAATCTTTTTTAGATTTGTATTAAGGTGGTCGAGTTTATCAAGGTTTTGCCGATTGACATCGAGGATGAACAGGGGAAAAAGGTGGCAATGGAATTCCCGTATAAATACATTTATGACGTGACAAAATCAGCGCCGAAAAATCTTCGACACTATAAGATAACGGCCGTCCAATTTCTCAGCAATCTTTTATCATCTCAAAATTTTATTAATCGCGTAGCTATGCTGAGTCAAGACGAAGCAAACGAGATGAATGAATATTACGAGCGTCTAGCAATCGAATTAATCTTATTGATTCAGACTATTTCAAAGATCGCCGATCAACATCAAAGTAAACCGAGCGCCAAATATTGGAAAGTGTTGTTGCATCATTTATATGATGTACTGGATCTAGTGAATAACTTGCTACCAAATGCCATGTTCTTGAAGAGTATTAAGAATTTATTAAAACATGAACTATTGTCTGTTAATAAGAAAGCACTAGAATTGTTGAACACGAGATTACTTCAAAAGAAATTTAATGACGAAGATCATATTGATCTTCTAAGCTTGATCAAATCTTTAATGAATTTCCTGAACACTGAAGTAAAAGAAAGCCAGGAACGGGATATTGTTCAACAGACAGTACTGATATCCTTCAAACTATTGGCGAAGTTGCTAGCTACTGATCATCCCGCTGTTTTTAAACCGGTAAGTAATTTTATTATATAAAAGAAATTATTTTATTTCATTTATTTTATTACATGTAATTGATTATATTTAACATTATTCGTATTTACAATTATTCGTAGATCCTGGACATGACGACAGCATTATTACAATCAAAGAAGCGTCCAGTATTAGCCAGCGCAACGTTGTGCGTCGCAGAACTATGTAGCTCCATGAGAACACATGCTTTATATTCGTTGAATAAATTCGTGCCAGCGATTTTGAAGTTACTAGAAACCCATTGCCATCAGAACGTACCAGACGTGATGGTCATCAGCATCGTAAGTGCCTTGCAGAAAATAGTGGAGTCGCTGGGAAATTTCTTATCACTCTATTTGGACCAACTCTTGTCTGAATTGACTATGTTGAGTTCTTTGTATACCGACACAGAGCATCCTAAGGTATTTATTAGTTTTTTTTCTTCAAGAATTTTAAAATACAGAATCTCTTTAAATTAATTTTATCTTTCATGTAACAAAATAATCTTCAATAATGTTTTATTAAAAACGGTGTTTGCTGTATTAATTATTAATATATTTGTAAAAATATATTTCTAATATTTCGAATTGTTTTGCCAAATTTTAGCAGAATCCTTTTGAAATATGATTATTTCATTTAATATGTATGTGTTTGTGCAGATTGATATTATAGTTTCACGACTGAAAATGACGACGCAAAAGTTATCCAATTGTATACCTTTGCGAGTGTTGTTGCCAGCTGTCAATAGAACTTATCAGATTCTATTAACCAGAAAGTCTTATCAGTGTATACCATCATTGATGAGCGTGTTGGCTGAATCCTTTGAAAGTGTGCAACCAGCAGACTTGAAAATAGAGATTGACAATCTCGCTAACTTCTTTCTTGAAGTTCTTCAATTCCGGGAATATATCGAAAGTACTGACGACGAGACGGACGTTAAAGTGAAAGATATCATTGCAGTCGAAGAAAGCGCCAGTAAGACGTTCGTAGCGTTGGTCTTGAAGTTAAGTGAAGCAACTTTCAGGCCATTATATAATAAATTCTATGGATGGGCAGCGAATGATACGCAACAGAAGCATCGAAATATAACTTTCTACAGGTATAAAAAATCAATTAATTTCAGACAAACATATATTAATTTTAATAAAATATGATAACGTGATTTTTAATTTTGCAGACTATCGGCAAATATAGCTGAATGCTTAAAATCTTTATTTGTCCTCTTTGCCGGACTCTTTCTGAAGCATGCAGCAGCATTGTTGAGCAGCAATAACATGTTTGTTATAAATAGCCCGCAGGAACTGACACTTCCCAATGAATTGAACAGAATCGAATTGGTGGAAGCGATTTTATTGACGCTTCACCGGGTTTTTAGTTACGATGCACATAATTTTGTCAGTCAGGATCGATTCGAGATTCTTATGCAGCCAATAGTGGATCAAATAGAGAACACGATGGGCACGAGAGAAGAATACGAAATTCGAGCCAATCAATTCATCATACCTTGCATAGCTTCCTTTGTCAGTGCTATTCCTGATGACTCATTACACAAACAGTTGGTTTATCAAACATTGCTAAAGACCAGGCATGGAGAGCCTTATGTTAGAGTCACTGCGATAAATGCATTGGTAAGACTGGATATAACAACTAAATTTTTTATTATAATTTAATTTAGATAACATAATTACATATGCGCGAATGGTAGTTTTTTATATTTATCGATATATTAATATTTTTATGATTTTTATATTTATTGAGATATTAAACGATTCTGAAAATATTAAATAAATTTATGTGATTTAATTAAAAAAATTAGTTATAGATGCTAAAAAATATATAATTAATGTAATTAAAAATTGTGATATAGGTGGAAATTGTGAGAAAACTTGGAGAAGATTTTATGCCACTGTTGCCAGAAACTGTGCCTTTCTTGGCAGAATTGTTGGAAGATGACAATGATACTATGGAAGAGTGCACGCAAAATGCTATTCGTACTCTAGAAGATATTCTAGGCGAGCCTATACAGAAATATTTTTAGATTCAATATAAATTTAAATGTAGAAATATATATATATATATATATATATATATATATATATGTATATATAAGTGTGTAAATCTATAACTAGATTTTATATTAAAAATTGTTCCTGGAAAGTTTTCAACTTGAAGTAATTAATTTTTTTAATTCACATAGTATTTTGTAATTAATTTTTTAAATTTACAAGATGCTTGTGTAAAATATAAGGAAAATATAAGGAAAAATACAAGTTAGCAAATCTGAATGATCATTTGATAAGCAAAAGAAACATTTTAGTTTTCGTAAAATTAATAAATGATGCTTTTTCAATTATCAAGTTATAAAATCAGTTAATTAAAAATTAATTTGGGACAAAAATGACAGTTTAAACGTCGACAAACTACTACGAAATTGATTTATTTTTAACTTATCCACAAATTGGACGAAATATAGAATATATTATTTCCTTACATTATAATACAGAGTAACGTAAGTGTGTACGTAAGGTCATGATGTAATAGGCTCGTAAGTTATACAATATCGAACCAATATAGTCCATTTATATTTAAAACGGTGTCTATGTGGAAACACTGAATCTTGTTTTAACTGTAAAAGTGGCTGTTTATATTCCTAAATATTATTTTTTCTAACAAATCTTTAAAAAATATGCTTAAAGATACATGTGCTGTAAATATGAGATGACGATTGAATATATTTAACATTAAATACACAAGAAAAATGCAGATACTTTGAAGCATGCTTCAAAATTTATTTTTAATTTTCTTCATGCATTTTTAACATTAAATACAATGTTATCTAATTTTAAATTTTCTCTAAATTAATATATCAGAGAATATATCAGAGAAAATTTCAGAATTTAGACAGCCACTTTTTGTATTAAATGCACAGTAAAATCACGTATGACATCCTCAAATGCTACGAAAAGACATATCTTCTTTTTTCTTCTTGCCTTTTCGAGCGTAATTTTATTTTAATTAATTGCGCGGAATCATCGCGATAACTTTGAAGTTCTTCAGGGATCGACCCTGCGAGTGACATTTTCGCGATAGCTTTCACATCGATGATTCTTTGCTGATACCAGTGGCCACAAATACGCAATCAGTCCGGATTCCTAGAATCACACTTGGGGCACATCCGCTGGACCTCGAAGGGCTACTTCTTCACCTTGTATCGTGGCTGGAAGTCTTCTAAAATGAAAAAAAAAAAGGATATTCACTTAGTATTGCATTTTCCTCACTGCTCATTAATTAATTTGATTTCTTTTTATATAGCATATTATACATATACATAACATTTTATACATATAAATATTTTTTTAATTTTTACTGCAGTGTTTTAAGAAATTTAAAATTTTTTTTTAGATGCATAAAAGTTTTTATTCTGAAGAGAATAGTATATATATATATATATATATATATATATATATATATATATATATATTAATCTAATTAACATTATATTAATGATTATTTTAAAATTCTATTTGATATGTATTTAATTTTAGTTTAATATTTTTTGGAATTTTCTATTATTATTATATTTTATTGTATAATAGAAATTACTTATTAAGAGTATTTGAAATTAATTGTATATTAGTTTTTATAGAGCTATAAATAATGGGTAAAGATTTATGTTATTTAAATTATTTAATATCTGAAAACAATTTCGTTTTAATATGCAATATATAACGAGATAAAAATTTAAACTCAGGAACATTTCCCGCCTTCTTTCTCGTTTAAAACAAACTACTTCACACGTATCTAGAAATCCTCGGGCATCGCGTCACTGTTTGTCTAGTAATATAAAACGCATAATATATACATATTTGTGCGAGTAATTCAATCAGATATCAGATTGAAACGTATCAGACGCCTTTAATTAATAAGCAGGTAATATAATCTTTCTTTCAATCGAGCTTCGAGAAAAAGAATATCCGAAAATCAAACGAGATTAATCTCGTTATATTTCACTAACAAAAAAAAATGGTTGCTCGCTCATATCGTGCGAAGTTATTATTGAACGGTTAAAGAAACGCGTATACAAATTATCGTGTAGTAAAACTTCTGTACATTTATTGTGTCTTTATTGCGTCTACACATTCCAATCGCGTCACGGTATGTTTATATTTCTGTGTTTCTTGCGCGCGCCCGTGTTTTTTTGCGCGCGCGCGCGTGTTTGGTTAGCGGGCGTCTCGACACTCGATAGGTCATTCACGCACCGGATCCGAGACGCTACGCATCATGTCACCTCTCGAGCCGCGAAAAACGACGAAAATTTATAGATACTTTCCTCTGATTAATCTCTCATATCCATTACATCTTCCCGCACAGGTATAATTAATAACATCTTGTGAACATTGAAGATTGGAATTATAATTCGCGAAATACCTAAATACGTCGCACATTGATTCGTTTATCGAGTAGGAAATCCATCGAACGATTTATGGAGAATGAGATTCATAATTTGTCGTATGATTTATTTATTCATAAATGATAATTATTGCATTCTCGAAAGAGAAAAATAACGTGCTTCAAAAAATATATATATATATTTCGTTGCATATTCGAATGCTTATCATTCAATTGAGATATATTCACTTCCTTTTGCCGCGATATATCGAGTTAATATGTACATAGTTTATTAATAAAACAATGCGTTTCATAGAATTTACGTGTGCGAGACACATTACGCGTAATACTGAATATTAATAGAATATTTTCGAGCGATTCATTGTTATTCATTAGTCATTTAATTCGACTTTGTTAATCGCGTTGTCTGATACGAAGTTGCCGGCGAGAACGCAGTTTCAGCGAATACTTCATACGATACAAATATATTCACCTGCCATTTTGGCGCAAAATGCGCGAAGTAACGGACGTGTCGGAAAGTCGCGATATATTGGACCGATACGTTTATTAATGATATCCTTTATTAATAATACCTGTGTTTCTCGCGGGATTTATACGCGTGTCAAGTATGAAATATTTTCGATCGATTTATTGCCCTTATTAATCAGTCATTAATTCGATTTTATTAGGTGCATCGCGTGACAAAGATGGCGGAAAATTGCCAGGAAATTTCGGTGAATATCAAGATGTAGAAACTGAGGGAACGACAAGTGTAGCGTCAAGATATAGCATGTGAATTTTCTCCATTATTCTGCTGTGACAATTCTAGCGTGACGTCATAAGTATCGCAATATCTTTTTTTCTTTTTTATCACAGTGCATATACGAGAGAGTGCGTCGTGTGTCGGGAGTGCGGTTCAAAGTTCCGCGCGATCGCCAGCATCGTACGCGTGTGTTTCTAATTAATTCTGTCGTTCGCGAGTGATTATATAAATGTGTGCGCCTGCTAAAGAAGAACATAACTTGACGGAGGAGGAACGACGGAGGAGGAACAACGGAGGAGCAACGGAAGGACGAGGAGGGGGCCAGGAAGGCATCGGGGATCGGCAACTGTGAGTAATGTTATAATTTATTTCACTTATCATTTGTTATATAATTATGATACTAATTGCTCTGTTTATCTCTGCGACATCGTATCACGTTCAATTTTTGAAGTATATTATATTTTTGCAAAAGTAGAACAAAGTGAAGCTGATTCGTTTGTTTTCTGAGAGCTCAATTATTTTTAAGAGCTTATGACATAAAATTTGTAAAATCTTGATACGACTAATATGTTTAAAATTTGATAATAAATTTGGATTTTTAATTTAATTAAAAAATTTAAAGTCTATTTTAATTATATTTTTAGTATTGGTTTTTGTTGTAAAAGGATTAAATCTGATTATATTAAAGTATATATTCGTGTTATCGATTATTAATTTTTATCTATATTTAGTATAATTTATATTTAGCAAATATTTCAATGAGATACGATGAAACAAGTTCACTTACCTCTTTCTAAATTGAAAGATGATGTATACGATGACCGCATTGCCGACGAACAGCAAAGCAATTAGAACTGTTGGCAGCACAAAGTCTGTAATGTAATATAAATTTGATTAATATGGATTGACTGTCATCGTGTTGATTCGATTTAGTTGTGAGCTTTGCTCGTGCGCGTTTAAAAGCTCTTATATTAAGAATTGCTATCAGTATTCCTGTTCATAAATATTAATGAAATCATGAATCGTCTAACTTTTATTAATGTGTAAATTAATAAAAAATTACAGTATTTACAATATATTTATACTGACAGTAAAATCGATCGTCATTTTGATAATACGAAATATTCATATCAGACATTTTTGATGTATATAACATGAAAAATGTTTAATCGGAACATACATGTTTATATTAATAACATGATAAACTCCTACTTATCAAATATCAAATTAATTATTAATTGGATTAAACTTATCTTAATTAATTATTAATTGGAATGCACTTATCTTAATTAACAGAAATATCACTTATTAAAAGAAATTGATGTATTTTGTACAATAGCATATATTTAAAATAATTTTTATATCAAAATAATATTTACTAAGTTAAAAATATTAATTATATTTAAAAAATAATTAATTATATTAAAATTGATATTCAAGTAGATTGAAGTAATTTCACATGTATCATGTTAAAAATAAATATGATAGTATATCTGCAATATAATAATGAGATATTAATTTTGATAAAAATTTATTTGCATCGAAAATAAAATCATACTGATAGCAATTACTGATAGCGGGAGGTTTATCATTAAAATCTCGCGTCATTTCTCGCCGAATATTACCAATTGTGGCGTGTTGAACTTTGGATACTACGGTAAGTAACTGACCAAAGTTTCTTTCAGTACGAGTGTATTTATTGATTTATCATTTTTATTATAACGTCGTTAGCGCCATTTATTTCTATCAAAGTTTTTATGCTATGTTTGGCACCACAAACAAAATTAATTTTGAATAGTACACTTACAATATCATATAAATAATATATGTATTTAATAATTCTTGAATTATGAAATACATCTTGTGATATAAAAAATTACATTTAATATTTTATTATATGTTATACTGTTAATGAATAATTCATAAATTACATTATAAATATGCAAATATGCAAATATATTATTTAATGTTTAAAATGATTTTTGTACACAAAGAAATATATTGAAATATTCATAATATACAAATTAACGGTATAAACATGGTTTATAATAATAATCGATTTCAAAGCGAAATCAATATGAACATAATTTTCATACTTCCTCGTACAAATACTTGATATTATTTTCAAGCAAGAACTACGGTAAAATGAATTTTGCATATGCGATTAGTCATGTAAATGAATTATTATTGCAAGTAATCTTTGAATCTAAATTGAACACAAATAGCAGTTTAATTATATGAATGCAGCTAGAGAATCCTGATTAATAAAATGTGTAAATAATAATAAAAATAATTCAGACTTATTTTATAATCGTGTTTAGTCACATTTTATTACATTTTATCATTTGTTATCAAGTAAGTTAATGCACTTTTCGAAGTCCATAATAATTGAGTGTTTTTAAAGTTTATATTTGTATAGAAAAAGAAATCCGTTGTATTTATTACTTGCGATTAATGAAAATCTTTCGAGTTTTCTATCTTTAATTATCATTAATTATATAAAAAATTTATTGCTAGCAATATTTCTTTTCTATAATTATTACTTTGTTGTATATGATATATAGTTGATGATATATAGTTGATTAAAAAATTGAGAAGAAAATAAAAATTTTATGCCAAAATTGTTTTATTTAATTTCATAAGAAAAATAAAATTTTGGAAATTTATTTACATAAATAAAAAGCTATATTAATATTTTATTGTGAAATTTTTTGAAGTTCTGAATATTAATTTTTCTTCGAAAATTATAACGGGTTTCATTAAAATATAACTCAATTATTATTTCAAAAGCACCGTCAAAAAAGGAGAATCCATTTAAAATAATTCTTTTATAAAAGATCTCTAAGTTTCAAAAATTTCTTATTAAAGCATTTCTTGTTTCTAAATGTTATGCATTTTATCATATTTCAAATTTTTTGAAATTCCTTGAATTTTAATATCGTCTCGTGTCCTGCATTTCCGACATACATATTATACATATTCAGATTAAAATATTATGCTTTCGTGAAGTTGGCTTTCGCTTCGAAGAATTTTATTGCAATTTTATTTCAATAAAATTGTAGGAGGAATGAAACGTGTCAACAAGTTTATACGTCACAAATTCACGAAACACTCACATCGCTTTGATAACACAATAACGAATTATAATTATTATTGGATTAATCACAATCGTCAATATCAAATTGTAGTCTTGTAATCGTAAAAATCGTCGTCGTATTTGCCGTTAAAATATCGTGGATTTAGTTCACTGACCTACGACGTAGTCCGCTTGCTTCATCATGGCCGATTGCGCTGAATCCATAACGGGGTTGTTGCTACCACTCGCGACTGCGTCCTCGCCACGTCCTATTCTTACCCCCGTCCCGAAAATGTTATCCCCAGACAGGCTGGATAAGTGATGATGGTCGTTCTCTGTCTTTAGGATCACCGCTGATGTGGCTGTGAACAAAATTAGATCTCCTTGATTTAGCAATTTTGCGAAGTCGATAAAATAAAATGTTTTTTTATTTTAAAAAATATTGAAATATGTTGAAATTTTATTGATAGCAATTTTTCAATTTTTTTTTTAGTATTTTTTTATACTTTAACCTTTCTTGTATATCGTGAAATATAAAGTTATCAACACATTAAAAATATTAAAAATTTCATACAATAGTTAATGCAAATTTTAAAAATATGAGAATATTTCTTACATAAATAATATATAAATAATTTATGTTTTTCTGCAACATCTCAAAATTTATAGATTAAAAAATTTTTTTAAAATTATATACACATCAAATAGTTTTTGTTTCTTTTCTTTTTTACCAGTATATTATTTTAATATTTGCATATAGAGATAACGCATGTATAATGTAACAATAAATTATAATTCTTTGATGCAATGCTGCTTAAATTTTCTAACATAATTCACGATCGAGACCTGATTGATAAGTTACACGATAACACCTGGATTTACGCGGTCAAGTCAACAAACCGCAGTGTTGATAGTATCGAGATCTCAAAATGTAAGAACAATCACTCGTATTGTAAATTGTAAAGCGTTCGCGTATCGATCTTGATGATTTTCTTCGCGGTCAAGGGGAGGAATTGGTCTGCGTAGGGGTACTTTATTAACGGATCGATAAGGTCGTACATAGTTTTACGAGGGTACATTGTCACTCTTATCATCGCATGAGAGCATTTTAGACTCGCACATTCTGTATTTCACAGCAACAAATATTATATGTTGCCTTTTTGTTTAAAAAACATTATAAATTTTATTTTAATCCAAAATATATTTAAAATGTATCTAAAATATATGAATTAAAAAAAATATATATATATATAAAGAGAAAATTATTTCTCTTTAAAAATTATTCTAAAATAATATTTTGTTTTTATGAATAGATAATTATTCTTTAGTTACGTATATATTTAAGTAATTTAAAAAGAGATAAGATATAAGAAGAAAATAAGATAAAATATGTAATGCATTTTTTTACTATCTTATATTAGATAGCTAAAAATATATTTTGGATTTAAACATTAGATAAAGTAAATAATAAAATACAATATCAGTAATAAAATATATTATATTATAACTGTAATAAAATATATTATAATATAATTAAGTTAATTTTAAGTTTGAAAATAATTTTTTTATAATTTTTTATCAAAAAGAATTATAAAGTTGTATGTATAATATAAAGTAAATATAATTTTATCTTTTTATTTTGTTTTTTTTATTACGTTAAATCTTGTTGGAAAACTTGAACACAAATGTGCATTTTAAAATTGTATTTTTGAATGTGTACGATATTTCAGTATTTTATCTAAAACATGCTTGCTACAAGACTTTAGCAATTTGCTGAATTTAACATTATTAGGCGTAAAAGTCTGCTTCTACAGCGTGAATCGAACAGAATTCCAGGGTTGGAATGATTTTGAAGGAATTCGCGGATTGGCATGTTGATAATTGATGCTCACGAGTTATATACCGTTATATCTCTTCTGATTCCAGAGCACGCTAGTTTTTCCCCTGATCTCTCGAGAGAAGCCGAGACCCGGTATTCGTAACAACCGGTCATAAAACACATTTACGGCAACGCGTGTTCGTCGTTATTCCGACAAAACTTCCCCGGTAGAACGCTTTTTCCGCTTAACATGTCGCGTTACCGTTACCGTGAGACGCACCCGACGATTTATCCTCGTTCTCCGTTTGCCGGCTGATTGCGAGCAAAATTTCCAATCTTCTTGCTAACGTTGAAAAGAAAAAAAAATTCACATTGCACATTCTCTTGATGCATAGCGGAATCGCAAACACAAAACCGTGCTTCGATAAGAGCAACGTTTTATACGTTATACATATATGTGCGAGTGATAAGGTAGTGAGGCTATAAAAAGCGCTATTATCTTTTGTTATAACTTATTACAATTTATTGCTCAAGAAATAATTTAAAATTATTTTATTTAATTTTATTTTTATTTAGTTTTTGCACTAAAAGAAAATTTTATTTAATTAGGAGAATATTTAATTAAGAATATTTAATATTTAATTAGGAGAATATAATTTAATTGCTAATTTATTAATTATTTTTACGATCTGAATTGTAAATTTTATATCATGATTTTTCAAAATTTTTGGTGATTTATAAATGTGGAATATAATTAAAATAATAAATTCCATGATTAATTAAAATTTTGCAGCATTGCAGATAGTTTAGCAAACAAATGTGGATAAAATATTGGGAGGATTAATATTTAACGTTTACTTTTTTATTAAAATTGATTTATTTTTTTTTAACTTGCATAAAAAGTGGAATTAACATATTTTATTCTTAACATTTGTTCGTTGCAAAATTTACGAAGCTCTACTCTCGATTCATCGCAGCGTCAACTTTCGTTCTAACTTTTCCAACGCAGCTGCTACAAAATGTGTAAATTGTTAATTGCAGAATTGACAATTCCCACGAATTATGCTAATATTTACCGAGGCGCGATTAAATTTGCCAGAGAGAACGTTCTCGGGAAATCTTGCTTTTGCTTCTTCCTTTGAACTAATTTCCACTCGACGAAGAACCGACACTTTCTTTGGCTACCGCCTTACTCTCGAGCAAACGTTGACACGATAACTATAAATACTAGCATTTATACAGAATGTCCCAGAATTACCGGATATATTTTGGTGATATTTCTGTGTACATTTTCTTTAAATGAATTTATAGGATTATTTTGGTAATAAGAACAACGAGAAATATTATTATTATTTGTCACATTTAAATATCGTATATTATTACAATTAAAATTTTAATTGCAATTTTATGAAAACAAAATTTTTTTGAAATTAATTGAAGAATGATTTTATCATCTATCTTTTATTTTGAAGCATAATTCATTCAATAAATAGTTCACGTTATTTTTATTCCCAATTTTCAGTCTTGATTATCAGAAAATTATTGCATTTTAATGTTTTTTAATTCGATCAAACTACATATCTTATAATTTATACATATAATTTTTATTCCATTTTTTAAACATAATTCGATAATAAATAGATATCAGTTATAAATGCTTAGATGTCAAATTATTTTGAGAATAATCAGTAGAGTCATATCTCGGGTGTTGATTTTTTCATTCATCGAGCTGAGCACGTGAACATTGCAAACATTGAATGCATGCAACAGTTGAATGATTCCCACGAGTAATTTCCATCGTACGATCGCAGAGAGAAAAAAGAGACGCAGGAAGGGATGATATGGAGCAACTGTATATGTCAATAACTCTGAGAGGCGCTCGCTCAGCAGAAGTTTGCGATAGAAAGGAATCGTACGATGCGTTATCGCGACTTAATGTGGGAAGATTTCGATTAAACTTATTGATTAAACGCGGGTCAAGCTGGGTTATCAATGACCTCATGCATGTATTCTTGCTTCCGTTGCTTTTTTCGCCTTGTTTCACGTTTGTAGCACGCGCCGATCACAATTTCTTGGAAAACAAATCGCATGGCACAACTATTTGAAAAATCAGGTGCTCCCTTATCATTAGAAAGTGAATCAATAGAGTAAATAAAGTTAGTCGTAATAATGGATCCTTATGTTTGAAGATTTGTTTGTTGCGAGATAACACACGAGATTGAATGAATTTAGCGAATAACAGAATTAAGCGGATTAAAATACATTCCGATAGATTAAAATAAAGTGACGATTAAACGATGGACACTAATTTTTAGCTCCCTATGATAAAATATTGAACGTTTATTTATTTTAATTTTCTTTCTAAGATCTTTAAAATAAGTTACAATAAACATATATCCAAATTTTGTTCTTAAACGAAGATACGAATGTTTTTTTACTTTTATTTCTTAAAGTAAATTTTGTTTTAAATTTTGCACATTTTTATAAAGATAAAACATATATCTTTTTGTTTCAAAATCAAGTAAATTTTTCAATAAAAATATAAATAAGAAATTGTTTTGCTTGGCCAATCAATTTCGGATAATAAGATTAAAAAATAATAATTTTCTCTTCCCTTATTTTCTAAAAAATTATATATATTATTTCTTAAAATATATCGAAAAGATGAAATCGAAAAGATGAAACAATTCGTATCATAAAGTATTGAAAAACTTTTCGTTGCGTCAAGTTATCTGCCCACCGTCTAATCGCCACCAATTGTCGACAGCCCTATAATATAGTGGCCCCGAATGGTCGGCAAAATGAGGGGACTAGCTAGCCTTGTCTCTAATACGGAGTTGTTTCATAGAATGACCGCAAAAAGAAAATGTCAAGAAGTATGCGTCAAGAATTTTCGGTGCATCAAGGATTTGCGGCTCAAATTATATAACCCACACAAATACATATTCTTTCGTGTATAATAATTCTCGAATTCATTTTTTTAATATTTTTTAGTATTTTATATATAGACATATTAGATAAAAAATATAATATATGATTGTGCCTGCGTTTTATATATCCGTATAAATATTCTTTATCATTATATGTTATAAACATGTTCGATATTTTATCTGAATTTTTTGTCTGAATATGTAATAATATTTTATCATTTTAGTCAATTTTTTTATAAACATTGAAAAAAATATAAATTCAATATTTTATAAAAATTTATAATACAACTTTGTAAAATCATTTTTCAAAATTTTAAAATATATTTATGGATATAAACATATTTTGATATACAGATATATCTCAAAGTCAAAAAATAGAAAAATTTATATTTAGATCAGGAAATTTATTAAAAGAAAAAGAAGATAAATTTGAAGATATATTGTAATATATATGCTTAATTATAAATTTGTGTAAAATTTAATTCATAATTTATTTTTAGCTATACGTTATTAGAATTAAAAACAAATTTGGAAGAATCAAATTTTATGTGCTCGATTAGTTTAAAATCACGTTTTGTTAAATGTAAACTTGAAACGTTAGTCTGTCATGTGT